ATGGATGGATGGATGGATGGATTGATTGTGTACAGTGAGCTCCAAGTACGGGTCAGAACGAGCATTCGGTACATAGTCAATGGTAACTGTTTGCGGTTTAAAAGGAGGCTCTGGTAGTTTTGGTCTGGCACACCTAGCCGCATTGAAACGGCTACAACTTCGTCTTGAATAACTCGATCTGCAAGCGCTTTTCACACAATGTCAGGAAAGGAGTAAAGGTTTCAAAAATGATAAATTAGTTTAAAGCGGCCTTTTCGTTATGACGTAATGATGACATCATAGAAATCGTTTACCGCTTATTTTCTGTGTGTGTATGTGTGTGTGTGTGTGTGTGTGTGTGTGTGTGTGTGTGGCCGGAAGCGAAAATCTCAAGTGACATGGCTGTGAGTTATGAGTTGTCAATCCTGACAGTTTGCTCTTTATTCATGGTTCCCATGTTATCAGAGTCCAAAAGCACAGAAATTCGTGCTCCTTTCTTGACATAATATATTTTTTCAAAAAAAATGTTTTTACTAAATTTAATGGGGAGTGCTTCCGGCCACCACACACACACACACACACACACACACACACACACACACACACACACACACACACACACACACAAAGAACATTGCCGAAAATATTGAAGAATGAATGATAAAAAGATGTATAATTTAAAACTGGAAGTCTAGTCCAAGATGAAAAGCACAGAGTCCAGTCCAGAGTCTAGTCCGGAGTCCAGTCCAGAGTCCAGCCCAGAGTCCAGTCCAGGATCTAGGACATGCAATCAAGATTACTAGAAGCCCCTGCAGAAAATGATAGCGTCTGGCTTTTGAGGTCAAATGGGTGGCTTGGTAATAATCAAGAAAATCTCTTCCGAGGATAACATCATTGGTAAGATCATCAGCCACGAAAACTTCATAAGGATAACATTTATTATCAATACAAAACGAAACTTTCAATTTCCCTAATACTGAAATATTGTGACCATTGACTGATCTTAAATTTTGTAATGACGCTGTTGCCATTAGAACATTCTGTAGTGTAGGAGTGCAATCATAAAATTTGGAATTTAATACAGATGTACACGCTCCAGTGTCTGTTAAAAACATAGATGACTTTCCTTCAATCCCCATTCAATCTCACCATGGATTGAGAAGTTGGAAGTTAAATCAGTGAAATGTATAACGTTTATTTGTTTCGGTTCTTTAATATCTTTGTTAATGACACTTGACTTTAGTTCTTGTGGTTTTGTTTGTATTTTTGATGAACTTCTTTGTTCATTTACGTTCTTTTCTTTATCCCGTTCTGGATTAACAGGGTTTATTAAAACTTTATTTAATGAATTGTCCACGCCGTCTGTCTGCGAATCGTTATCTTGCTCCAAGTCCGTTATTTTTTCCGTTGGCGAGTCATCGAATTCAAATTTCGGCCCTTCGGGTACCCACAAATTTCCAAAGGGAATGGCCAAAAAAAATGAAAAGCGAGCGAGACTTGTAAAACTCGGCATCTCATTAATATTCGATTAGTTGGCGGGTGGTTTAATTGACATGCCTCCGTTTGCATTTACAAGGGGGACATACGCGTCGACGTGAGCCTGTAAAATATATATAATTAGGCACTGCCTAAAAGCGGAGCTCCCGATACGAAATTAGGGAGCCAGGGAGCCCAATTTGAATGAATCTGAAAGGTAAAAATAAGATCGGGAAAAAAATCTTCAATTATTTTTATTCGAGATGAAGATAACGTATCCCATAATAAAAACGATGCATTRAAATCGAATCAAAATGCACTACATTGTTTTTTATGCGCGATTATACCATCCCACTTAGGAATTTTGAACACAACTCACCACCAGCCACCCAACGGGCTATTTTTGTTCTTTGAAGATTCTTCGACAAAGTTTTCCATGGCCGACATTTTTAAGCTTTGAATTCCTGTTTAATTTTACTTTAAAAAAACGAAAGATAATTACAGACAATCCAACAAAATATCAGGTTTAGTGAAATTTACCTTGGATGTCTTTCATTGAAATCGAAATTTTGGAGATTCCCGATTCTTTTAGGACAAATCAGGACTATAAAACAGACTTGAAAACTGGTTAAGGTGAG